AGTGCTAAATAAGTGTGTAAAAACAGACTTATCATACAGCATCGTACAAGTTGATGGTATCCATCTTCTGTCAGTAAACAATATACAACATTGTCCTCCACAACGTACTCAGAGTGCTAAATTGGTTTTCTCCTCTTTTGCGTTGATCGTCGAACTTTTTAAGTACTGACTCAGTTTGTTCTTATTTTTCATACTCCAGTGCTGCGTCAAAAGAATCTAGAACTTTTTGTTCTCTTTTGAAGTGCTATTATTTTCTTTTTCGTGTACCTTGCCTTTTGCAACTATTACATCTCTGATAATTATCACATTGTGAGAAGTGGGATCCCATAGGTGGTACACCTTGACTCCATCAGCATACCCAAAGAAAATACATTTTCTGAATTTTGGATCGAGTTTTGACGTTTCTTCGGTATTGTACATAACGTACATAGGACTTCCATATATATATAAGTGAGAATAATCGACTGGATTACCAGTCCACATCTCCAAGGTGTCTACAATGAATTATGGTGGATGTGATCTACTGATCACAAAACAGACGATTTTGACTGCTTCTGCCCAGAATAACTTAGGTAGCCTAGTAGTTCTCATCATTTCTCTTGCTCTTTCTAATAATGTTATGTTAATCCATTCTGCCACTTCATTTTGTTGTGGAGTGTATACCATTGTGAACTGTCTCTTGATACCTTTTTGTTGACAAAATTTATCAAATTCATCACTGTATATTCTCCTCCATTGTCTATCCTTAAGCACTTGATCTTCATTTCAAATCCAACCTCTACCTGTCCTTTGAGTATTTGAAAACTGTAAACACATATGCATTCCTCTTGATTGGATACAACCAACATCTTCCGTAGTAACCATTAATGAAAGATACAAAATATCATGCACCTCATAAGGATAAAATCGGTGCTTGCCAAATGTAGGAAGAGGTAGCTCTTGGATAGCTTTGCATCTATCAATAGAACTGCTGAACTTTAATCTGTGTTGCTTACTAATAACACAATACTCAAAAAAGGCAACCACATTCTGACACATGGCCAAGCTTGAGGTGTCACATCATCGTTAATTCTTCTGCTGACCTTCTTGATTCAATAGATCATTCTCCTTCTTGTACCCATCTTGTACATGGATTTTGTACCCAATACTATCTATTTGTCGTAAAGACAGTATATTTTTCTTTAGGCCTTTTACATGTCGTACTTCTTGGATGTGCAAATTATACCATAATACATTTTTGATTTGATAGTACCAATGCCAGCGATCTCCAAGGCGTGGTCGTTCTCCATAAACACAAATCCTCTTGAGATAAATTCACATTGATGGAATTATTCTGTCCTTGGTGTCTTGTGCCATGGAGCTCCTAAGTCCATAAGTTAGACATCCAAAAAATTACTTGTTGCCTTCAACGGCTATTATTGCCTATTGTATAAAATTTCACTATATCTTAGGTGTTTGATACACAACCCTAAGCTTTTGACGATTCATGGCCTTCTTCTTCGGCTTCTTCATTTTTCTTGAGACTCCAACAATCACTATTTTGGTATCATTTCTTGCCATAATTACACTTGTCATTCTTTTTTACTTTTGGATCTTGATCTACTCTGATTATGACTCTTACTGAGGCAACGTTTCGTTGATTTTCCTCTCGTTATTGTCAAAGCTTTTGCCTGTTGTGAACTTGTCAATATGTCTTCCTTGTTCTTGCGCCGACTTTTTTCTTCAAGAACTGTAGCTGCAACATCATCAAAGTTATTGGTTAATTTGATAATGAGTTCATCATACAAATTAGGTGGATTTTGAAGTAAAATCTCAGTACGTTCACTCACCCCTATATTATGCCCGCATTGATGTAAGCTATGAAAATTAAATGTTGAGGGTGTTGATGTGGTTGGTCATCATGGTTGACTCCATCATCCGATTGTTGTAGTGTAACGATTTGACCTCATATAACTTTGTCAGCGTATCCCATATCTCTTTAGCCGTCTTCTTCTCAACATACTTAACAATACTACATCGGCTAATACAATGCAAAATAGTAATTACATTGTCATCCATCTCGTTCCACTTGCCATCTTTAGTGACCTCCACAGGTTTTAGTC